TGATGATCATCAAGTCACAACAATAGACAATCTGTGAACCCTTGGATTTAATAAATGGTTGGACCTCCTTTGACAGCAATAACTTCAACCAAACGTTTCCTGTAGTTGCAGATCAGACGTGCACAACGGTCAGGAGTAATTCTTGACCATTCCTCTTTACAGAACTGTTTCAGTTCAGCAATATTCTTGGGATGTCCATTGATTGGACTCCAGTTGGCTGACATCTCACTCCAATTAGCTCTTGGAGATGTCATTAGTCTAGGGTTTCACATACTTTTTCCACCTGCACTGTGAATGTTTACATGGTGTGTTCAATAAAAACATGGCAACATTTCATTCTTTGTGTGTTATTAGTTTAAGCAGACTGTGATTATCTATTGTTGTGACTTAGATGATGATCAGATCACATTTTATGACCAATTTGTGCGGAAATCCGTATCATTCCAAAGGGTTCACATACTTTTTCTTGCAACTGTATAAATGAGTCATTATCAGACTGGCGCAGTTTAAATGGTGTCCAAGAGAAATGGGATTAGTTAAAAGTTTCAATGCTGAACGCAACAGAAAATTGCATTAGGCTTGTCAGTAAAAGCAAAAAAAATTAAGAAACCACTCTGGTACTCTGCAGATGTGGCCAAAATAGTAAAAAAAACAAAAAGTTAGCATTTAGTAATTATAAAAAAAAAACAAGAGTAAGGAAAATAGACAGATCTATAATATTAGGCAGAAAGAGGCTAAGCAAGTTATAAGAACTTCCAAATCACACACAGAAGAGAAAATAGCACAGTGAGTAAAAAAAAGGGGACAAAACATTTTTTAGATACATAAATGAGAAAAGGAAAGTAAAACAAGGATTAGTTAGATTAAAAACAAAAGAAGGAAGGTATGCAGAAGAGGATAAAGGTCTAGCTGTCTGCCTCAATTAATTATTTTGTTCTGTATTTACAGATGAAAATGAAGGAAAGAGGCCTCAGTTAGGAAAAAGGACAAATGAATCACTTGTTACATGTGTGCTTCAACATATATGAAGATACTAGTAACCCTTTAGATGGGAACTAGTCGTGTGTCTAGGGTCAAGCTTATAGGGGGTAACCCTTCACTAGTGTGCTATGGTCAAAAGAAGAGAAGACCCTGAGAGTGCTAAACGCCCAGGGTCAGTGGTTGGCTGTCCCACGACTGAGTGAATTTTTTTTAAAATATAACTTTTATTATATAGTTAAAATCCAAAATAGTGCATAAACATATAACCAATACAAACAGAAAAAACAAAATAAATTAAATATTGTGACAGGCTAGAGAGGCATAAAGGGCCAGTACCTCAGGTAGGGGGTACCCTGCCTGACTTGTAAAAATTCTCCCTGGTCTCACAGAGACAGCTCCTATATTGCTCTATAGCTGAGAAAAGAAAAAACTGCTAGTCGTACAGAAAACATGGAGATTCTAAACACACTGCCTATATACACAGCCAAAGCATTGGCTCATGAAGTAACTAGGCAGGATGTATCTCACTCATCTGGCACTTCAAAGAGTGTAATAAAATGTGTCACTACTTGAAATGAAAAGCTGACAACTCCTATTTGAGAGCAGACAGAGTGGCAAAACAGTAACAATGTGGCCACTCGTGTAAAGTGTAGACAGAGTGAAAGCTAATGGCAGCTCCAGCTAAGGCAAGCTGGCTATACTGTACACACTAGATCATGGGTTGTCAACCTGGTCCCTACCGCCCACTAGTGGGCTGTGGCGAAACCGACCTCGCCACTGGGCATTGGAGAAGACTGATTGCCCGCCTCCTGCCATGTGACTATGGCCCCTGGGATGTATTGCCCTTTAAAGACACGATTTGGGCATAATGGATTTGTGTTGTGCTGCTGCTGGCCCTTTAAGAACCATCTGGGGACACACTGTGGAGTTACTGGGTGGCCACCATTTCCTGTATCAGAGGCACATGGTGAGAACAATGGATGAAGCACATGGTGAGAACAATGGATGGCGGCCATTTTAACTCACAGACACTGTTTGGACTTTTCAACACGGTGCCATCTCGCCAGTATTTGTTGCACAGAGACATCGTGCACTGGTTTTGGACTATACAGCAGGGGACACATTATACAGTAATTGTTTTTCAAATAGCCTGTATATGTTCTGCGGAATCTGCATTAAACTGTATCTTCCAAAGTACTGAACGGATCTGGGTGAATTTTGGATATGTGGTTCACCCAGATCCCCTGGTTCCAAGCAGTGGCGGATCCAGGGGGGGGGCAACGGGGCAATTGCCCCCCCCGAGAAATCCGCCGGTCTCCCTCCCCTGCCAGCACATGCAGGTGCTAGCCCTGCAATGTGCCTGCGGACCGGAGGGAGATCAGAGCTCTCCCTCCCCGGTCCGCAGGCACTGTGCTGACAGCCGGCAGGGGAGGGAGATGGAGGACCCGGAGCTCAGTCTGCAGCTCCTCCGGGTCCTCCTCTCGCGAGATTTGGAGCGTTGCCACGGTTACCACGGCAACGCTCCAAATCTCGCGAGAGTGAACTCTAGCCCGGGAGTGCGGGTTAGAGTTCACTCTCAGCACTGGGACCACCAATGAATCACCACTGGGACCACCAGGGAACGAAATCTGTCCCCCCTCCTCCCCAGTAAAGGTAAGAAGGGAGGGGGGACATAGAATATTTATTTATTTTAATTAAATTAAAAAATATTATATAATAAAAAAAAAACCACCATACCCTGATCACACACACATACATTGCCCCCTATACTGCCCCCCATACACACAAACTGCCCCCCCATTCACACACACTGCCCCCCCATTCACACAAACTGCCCCTCATACACACAAACTGCCCCCCATACACACAAACTGCCCCCCATACACACACATACTGCCCCCATACACACATACTGCCCCCCATACACACACACTGCCCCCACACACACACTGCCCCCCCATACACCACCCCCCTATCCACACACACTGCCCGCCATACACACAAACTGCCCGCCATACACACACACTGCCCCCATATACACACACTGCTCCCCCATACACACCCCCATACACCCGCCATACTGCCCCCATACACACACACTGCAATACTCACACACACTGCAACTGTTACACACATACACTGCATCCCTGACATACACTGCTGCCCTCACTCACACACTACAACCTTCACACACACACACACTGCACCCCTTACACATTGCACCACTCACACACACCACTGCTCCTATACCTTACTACAGCCCCATTTCCCAGCAGATCTCAGGTAAGTTGTCAAACTGTTCTTAAACGGTTTGACTACTTACTGTGGGAGGGGGTCCCGGCACTATTGACACCATAACCACTACACTGAGCTGTAGTGGTTATTGTGTCTGGATTATTTCTTTAAATAATCTACAAGTGCCCCTCCCGAGATCAGGCTCTGGATCCGCCACTGGTTCCAAGGATATACTTTTTATGGGGTTATTGTATGTTTTGGGGTCCCTGTGATGTGTTTTATGATACTGTATTTTTCCTGCTTGTGATAATTATGTTAAACCATTGTGTACCATAATTAGATCACAAGCAGAGGGGAGGATTTTGTGTATAATTGCTGGGAGTGTTGTCTGTAATGTACGTGTGTTATTGGTTGTTGTGTAAAACCCTGTGGTCAGTACTAAGTTTGTGGACTGGGAATAAAAGAGGCTGTATGTGTCAGTACAGTCAGTTCTGCTTGACCCCAAAACGAAGTGTTGTCTCGTTATTGGGGGAATTGGATTGTATGCTGATTGCCGGCGTGTAAGCTGATTGTATGCTTTTCCTGTTCAGCTGCTTACAGCATTCAAATGCTTGAGAGCATTCATATGCTTCTCCGGTTCGGTGGTTGTGGTGTCTGCTGCAGTGCTTGGAGTCCTCAGGAAGCGCTAGGAGCATTCTTCAACGGAGGTACCCAGTCGGGGTGCCAGATGATCGTTTACATGGGCGTTTCAGGATTCCAGGTGGGCAGTAGAGGTTTCAGCAGCACAACAAGCTAATGCTAAATCCTCCTTTTGAGAGAGTAGGCGGCACGAGTGCACAAACACACATGAAAGTTCAAATGCGTGCAAAGTTGTGCAAACACGAGAATGCGTGCACATGAACAAGAAAACGCATGCATGCGCGCGTGAATGTGCCAACACGAGCGAGTAACACGTGGGAAGAGGAAGGGGAGGAGTGGGAGCTGATGCACGATAGCAGGGACAGGCAAAAGCAGGCAGAAACGGAGCAGAGAAGTTGTAAAATAGGAGAAAGAAGGAGCAGAATACTTGTAAAAAGGAGAAAGAAGGAGCAGAGTATTTGTAGAATAGGAGAAAGAAGGAGCAGAGTATTTGTAGAATAGGAGAAATAAGGAGCAGAGTACTTGTAAAAGGAGAAAGAAGGAAAATAAAAAATATAAAAAGGAAAAGGAGAGAATTGTTGTTGGCTAATAATAGTAAGTGGGCTTCCTAGCTCAGCCTTCCTGCTGGGCATTGCTATAAGGAAGGTAGAAAAGTAGAAAAAAGGAAGAAAAAAGGGGGGGGGGGGCGACTGAGGGGGAAATTGAGGAGGGAGAGGAGGGGAGCTGATGCAAGGATGAGAAATCATATTATGAGCAAACAGAGAAATCGTCTGAATATCACTGAAAGAGGAGACCTTCGTTTGTTTCTTACGAAAATCGAATATCAAATATTTAGTCTCGCAGTATCAACCTCAAGGATCTCATTAATCACTAGTAAAGGTAATTTCAATTTACTTTATTGTTTTCTCATTAAACTTTATAAAGCTAAAAACATTAAAAACATGCATAAAGGGGGGCGGAGCCTGACAGCAGAGGCAAGCAGACGCAAGACTCAGGAGCTCCGAGGACAAAACGGAGAAAATAAACTTAAAAACGGCTGATACGACCCCCAATAACCACTGACTACAAGCGGGCACCCCTTAAGAACTAATGGGACGCAAACACAAGAAACTGTTGCCGGACAAACCAGCCCCAGGACTCACAATAGGGGATATGTGGCGACAAGCACGCGGCCCGAGCGGATCCAATATGGCGGCGCTCCACGGAGGCTGCTCGGATTTCTCCGACGACTGCTCAGAGGGAGCTGACGATGAATGCCTTCTAGCCCCAGACCCAATGCCGAGGGCAAAACCCAACAAACCTAGGAAGGACACAGACGCCGAACTGGTAACAACCGGGGTATTAAAGACCCTGCTAGCAGACCTACAAAAGAACATCCTCGCGGATGTCACTGCACTAAGGGGAGAGCTGAAGGGCCTGACAGGCCGCATCACTGTACTAGAGGAATCATCCCAAGAACAGCAGCACACTATCGCCTCACTGCGAAGCGACATACGGGACCTGCGCAACCAAACTATGCTATATGAACGGCGCTTCGCAGCCCAAGAAGACGCAAGACGGAGACTTAACATTAAGGTCAGGGGACTCCCAGAGGGGTTGCCAGAGGCTGACCTACCGCACACGATCAAACGCCTGCTTGCCACCATTCTGCCCACGGACCAAGCCAGGGCCGTCATGCCCACGGATCTCTTCCGGATCCCAAAGCCCGCTGGGGCCCCAGACATGGCCACAAGGGACACTATACTTAAATTTAAAAATGGGACTGACAAATCGACGGTTCTCACAGCCATCCGGGGTAAAACCCCCATACAATTTGAAAACGCTAAACTAACCTTTTACGCCGACCTATCCAGTGGAACTCTGGCGTGGCGCAGGTCAATGCGGCCTCTTACCTCCACACTCCGGCGCAACAACATACCGTATCGCTGGCGGCCCTCACACTTGCTCCAGGTACACCAAGGCGAAACAACACACCAAATTTACAGTATGCAAGACGCAGAGGCCCTTCTGCACACCCTAGATCCATCACTGGATTCACGCCTACAAGCGGGACCTTGTGCCCCCGCCACCCCGACTCACAGCTGGGACCCAGCAAACAGTGCCCCATTCAGACCGCGGAGCACCACGCCGGTCACCTACGCCTCAGTGACCACATAAATCTTCAGCATCCACCCACTTCCAGCCTCCCACCCCGGGGCATCGGCTGATCTGCTCATTACCTGGACTGCACCCACGCACTACCGACACACAGAGCGGCGCATTCCAAGTGGAAAAGTCTCCTGGGAGGTCTGACGAAGACCGAAGCAAAACCCCACTTTCTCTAGGCATCTGAAGAATGGTTACTGAACTTTGCGGAACTTTATTTATTTTAATTTTTTTTTATTTTATTTATTTTTTGCTTTGTTTTGTTACTACGTAGATCATATACCAGTTGCCATAAAACGCTGGGCTGCTTGCATTTTGGTTGATTCTGACAGTTAAGCTCTTGGCATCGGCTACAAAGCTCTCAAGGACGCTCAGAGCACGCATACAATGCTTGCGGTACCCATATGTTGAAACGACTAGCCACCCAATGGTTATTATTGTTCTTGTTTTATGTTAATTTTTTTTTTTGGTTCTACGGCGAGTACCTAAATTTCACCACTGAGCCATGCTATAATTTATGTTTAGCACGCAAAACGTCTGAATATTGCACAGACATCTTAGCTTAGCCTGTGATCACTGGTTCATACCTTATATCTCATGGTTACCTCAAGTTAACTCCTGCGTAACTATTAATGTACAATTGTACTAGTCTCATTACGTGCCCCCACCCTGTTTGGAGGCCTCATAGGCTCTGCTGGCCCGTAGCCAGGCAGTGGGACAGGACTAGCCATCTTATATCAATATTGACTGCTTGCAATGTCTGACCACAAATAGTAATAGGAACACAAGCTCAATTGTTTCAAGCAGCACGTATAGCCAGATTACTACTCTCATTTTACTAAACCCGTCTGAGCTTACCTTTAAACTTATCTTTGCGCTATATTCTAATGACAAAACGGGATAGCCAGGCTGATGATTGGCATAACTATACGTATAACACTGTGCATTTCTCATGCCACTGCCCAATTTACGTACAACCTCAATGCTGTTTATAAGCTAAAATTGTGCGAAAGGAAAGGGAAAGGGAAACGAAAAAAAAAAGAAAAAAGAAAAAGAAAAAAAAAAAGGGAGCCCACTGCCAGAACTCCTAAAATGCTCAGACCATAACCAAACAAAACCATGCAGTCGCAAGGGGTATATACTCCTACCTTGCTTAAATTGCCATCATCAGGTATATAACCAAATTTAGCTACTTCCCTTCACTAGTCACTCCAGACTTTTACTGTCTAGCCTGTTTAGCCTGCGGGATATATATAACTTAACAAGGTGCCACTATATTACTCCACTACATTACTTTGGTCACTCATGTTTTTCCTCCACCAGTGTTGTGAGGCTTAATCGTTCTTACTAACTTGCCTAACACGACTCGTCACTAAGACACTCTCTGCCCAGACAAACAAGTGTTATGTTTAACTAGTCACCATACTTTAAATATAAAATTTCGTGCTGTTCTCTCAAATGATGCAAAGTATTGTCTCTAACAGTTCTCAATGTCAACCTACATGTATCATTGAATGTACTGCAAATCCTCGCATTTGCTGTTGTGGCAATGCAGGAGGTATTGTAATCTCATGCACGTTCAAAAATAAAGAATTAAAAAAAAAAAAACATGCATAAAGTAGTAATAAAAAGATAAATGTACGTACATTTATTTTTTAAAAACACCCTCCTTTCTAAAAAATATTCTGCACTTGCGCGAAAACTGGTGGGCGGTAAGGACATTTTTCCATCAAGAAAGATGCATTAGTGGGCGGTAGGTAGAAAAAGGTTGACTAACCCTGGTCTACACTTTACACGAGTGGCCACATTGTTACTGTTTTGCCACTCTGCTCTCAAATAGGATTTTTCAACTTTTCATTTCAAGTAGTGATAGATTTTATTACACTACTTGAAGTGCCAGATGAGTGAGATACATCCTGCCTAGTTACTTCATGAGCCAATACTTTGGCTGTGTATAGAGGCAGTGTGTTTAGAAATTCCATGTTTTCTTTACCACTAGCAGTTTTTTCTTTTCTCAGCTATAGAGCAATATAGGAGCTGTCTCTGTGAGACCAGGGAGAATTTTTACAAGTCAGGCAGGGTACCCCCTACTTGTAGTACTGACCTTTTATGCCTCTCTAGTCTTCATTTATTTAGTTTTTTCTGTTTGTATTGGTTATATGTTTATGCACTATTTTGGATTTTAACTATATAATAAAAGTTATATTTTAACATTTTTTCACTCAGTCGGTGGGACAGCCAACCACTGACTCTGGGCATTTAGCACTCTCAGGGTCCTCTCTCCTTTTTACATGTGAGTTTACAGAGGAAGAGGTTCTATTTCAACTGTCAAAAGTAAAGACAAATAAGTCAATGGGACCTGATGGAATACACCCAAAGTTATTAAGAGATTAGTGGTGTACTAGCAAAACCATTAACAGATTTATTTAACCAATCATTGTTAACAGGAGTAGTCCAAGAAGATTGGAAGTTAGCGAATGTTGTGCCCATTCATAAGAAAGGTAGTAGGGAGGAGTCGGGCAACTATAGGCCAGTAAGCCCTACTTCAGTAGTGGGGAAAGTGATGAAAACCATGTTAAAGGATAGGATTGCTGAACATCTAAAACACAATAACACATGGATTTCAAGATCAAAGACAACATGGGTTTACCTCAGGGAGATCATGCCAAACTAATCTTACTGATTTTTTTGATTGGGTAACTAAAATTATAGATCAGGGTGGTGCAGTAGACATTGCTTACCTAGATTTCAGTAAGGCTCTAACACTGTTGCACATAGAAGGCTTATCAATAAACTGCAATCTTTAAGTTTGGATTCCAATATTATTAAATGGGTAAGGCAGTGGCTGAGTGACAGGCAACAGAGGGTTGTAGTCAATAGAGTTTATTCAAAGCATGGTCTTGTCACCAGTCGGGTACCCTTACGGATCTGTACTTGGACACATTCGCTTTAATATTTTTATTAGTGATATTGTAGAAGGTCTTGATGGTAAGGTATGTCTTTTTGATGATGATACTAAGATATGTAACAGGGTTGACGTTCCAGGAGGGATAAGCCAAACGGCAAATTATTTAGGTAAACTAGAAAAATGGTCAGAGTTGTGGCAACTGACATTTAATGTGGATAAGTGCAAGATAATGCATCTTGGATGTAAAAACCCAAGGGCAGAGCACAGAATATTTGATGGAGTCCTAACCGCAACATATGAGGAAAGGGATTTAAGGGTGATTATTTCTGATGACTTAAAGGTAGGCAGACAATGTAATAGAGCAGCAGGAAATGCTAGCAGAATACTTGGTTGTATAGGGAGAGGTATTAGCAGTAGAAAGAGGGAAGTGCTCATGCCATTGTACAGAACACTGGCAAGACCTTACTTGGAGTATTGTATGCAGTACTGGAGACCGTATCTTCAGAAGGATATTGATACCTTAGAGAGGGTTCAGAGAAGGGCTACTAAACTGGTTCATGGATTGCAGGATAAAACTTACCAGGAAAGGTTAAAGGATCTTAACATGTATAGCTTGGAGGAAAGACGAGACAGGGGGGATATGATAGAAACATTTAAATATATAAAGGGAATCAACACAGTAAAGGAGGAGACTATATTTAAAAGAAGAAAAACTACCACAACAAGAGGACATAGTCTTAAATTAGAGGGACAAAGGTTTAAAAATAATATCAGGAAGTATTACTTTACTGAGAGGGTAGTGGATGCATGGAATAGCCTTCCAGCTGAAGTGGTAGAGGTTAACACAGTAAAGGAGTTTAAGCATGCGTGGGATAGGCATAAGGCTATCCTAACTATAAGATAAGACTAGGGAGTAATGAAAGTATTTAGAAAATTGGGCAGACTAGATGGGCAGAATGGTTCTTATCTGCCGTCACATTCTATGTTTAGAAGCTTTTGGTCAGTTCATATAACTGATGAGCCACCCAAACTCACATAGCAAAGGACAGTGTGCTATTGGTCATTAATCTTGCAATTGAAACCACCATTAGGCTGTAGCGTTTAAGCATTTGTCCAAGACATCTCATCGGGTGCACTTCCAATACACCCAATTTGGAGCATGAATTGACAAAGCTACATTAGAAATTCTTTATGTCTCCAAAGACATGAAAGAAGCCATTTCTCCAACCAGCTTATCATCCAAAATTCTGCTTCCCGCACTAGCTTGAAATTAAAATCTGGATAGTTTTCCATCTAACAGCATCACAAATAAATGTTATCATCTG